TAGCTCTCTCTAGTGGGGAAGTGTTTTGCACTCATCTCTACAGGTCTCCTCTCCTCACATGGAGTCCTTTAAAGACATATTACCCTCCCTCACGCAGCCTCTCCAGGAGCAGGCACTGCCCCATCGTCAACGGTATCATCGCCCACAACTTCGGCATACTCAGCCACCCTGTGTACGCTCTGAATGATCTGTACCTGGTGACCCACAAGCTACCCTCTTTCGATGAGCCCGGATGCACCTCAGCTTTGACCTCCCGATCTTTTTGATCTGAACAATGCCCTAGTACATCCGCGAACTGTTGCCTCCCCGGTATCGCATCCCCATGCCTTAGTAATGGCTTTTACATCACGATCTCCATCTCCTCCAATTATGTTCAATAATCTCGCCTCTACGGTTCATCCAACACCAGAATCACACCTTCCATTGGTGCACGGTGAACTTCCACAGGTTCATCCTCTTCTTCCGATACATCGCCTCTGGCTGGGCGCAAATAAAGAACCTCATTGGCCCCTCAAAATACTATAAGCACTTACAAGGGACGCCAAATATTTCAGGTAAATTGATGGCACTCTAAGTCAAGTCTGAATTCTGAAGCATTTTTTACGGCATTAACGTCCCAGAGATCATGTGCAATTAAAGTATAGTTGTTACTTCAGAGTGTACAACCTCCTGATCATGACATGCATCGTGCACATAATATTGCCTCCGGATATAATCGGCTCTTCTTACTCTTGTAACTTCATCCCGAACAATACAACATCGTTTTTTTGGCTGACGAGATATTCCAGGCGTTGCGAGTGATTCACCGGGTTCATTTAACATCTCCAGCACTTTGAAGCGGACAGCCCCAAGTTCTGAGAGACTGGACATTATCTTGTGTATTGTCCAGTTAGTGTGGACGGTAACTTGTTTTCCAGACAAACTTCGTTTGACCATCGTCGGTTCGCCGAGCTGGTTGTGATGCCTGAACCAAACTGACGTGGGAATGGGAGAAATGGTTGATCGTGATTGTGCCAGGGTATTGGAAAAATATCTGTCATACTTTATGGCGGTGTTCACTTGGGTATAGCCTTCATAGATCCGAGGTTCCTGCATTCAACTTGATTGACTCTTCTCATGCAATTATTCAGGGTCGCCATGAACGATTTATTGCCATCACGCCCTACTAGGTAGTGCTGCAATTGTCTCCTAGTAAGTGATAATGTTGGGCATGTTCCTTTCAGAGATAACGAAGTGGAAGCGAGCTTCAAGGAAAACAGCTTCATTGCAGCTCCTACCATTATAACCCACCTTTAAACCCAGGGCTTTCCCTCTGTTCGACTTTTACAATTTAGCTAGTGTCTCAGTTACTGAACCAAAGTATAAGCCGAAGGATGACACACCCACCGATACCAGATCAAATGGTAATCGCTCAATGTGACTTCCTGCGATAATCCTTCAATGTAAGCAGACCTCATGTTATTTGTTCGCCCCAGAAGCGTATATCTCAAACAGGAGGATATGCACTGACCGCCAGCCAATGGAACACCAGCGGTGAGTCGTTTTTCATACGTCAACGGACCAAATGTGATTTCAGGAAAGGATGCTATGGCTTCGCCCTTTGTACTCCCCTGAACAATAAGTTCTACCGATCAAATACATCTTCTATTCCTTTTGGGGTGACAGCGTGCTGTCACTAGATCACCAGGTTCCATTAAACTCGGACCCGTCCCCTCCAATATACTAGTCGGATTACATCAAAATGCCGCCAACAGGAAGAAGATTGTAATCCGCCGAGGATGCTGCTCCTTCGTCCCCTATCTAAGGGTTGTGTAAGCACACGGAATCATCAAGCCCGCACACAAGTGGAGGTCTGCTCTCATTTCAGACTCCAGTGAGTTTTCTTCCATCGGTTCTCTTTCAAAAATATTCAATCGAGCGATAGCACCAAGGCGGTTCCGATTTAAGGACCAGTGGCGTAAACAACGGACGGGATCTTGCCCGAAGAAGCCAGGGCCAGTACCATACCCAAGGCTCGCCTCACAATGTCTTTCATAGTATGTAAAACCCAGATCCGCAGATTGTGTTTCCAATCTGTCATCACAGCTGTTGCACGGAAAATAGCCTTTGCCGCTGCTCTACTCATTCTTGTTGCTTTCTTGGATAAGGATATCTTCTTCGGCTGATGGACCACATAGTTCAGTAATGTAATTAGTGTAGATGAAGGCAAAGTACATGGGGACTGGCAGAACAATGTTCTTCGCGCTGGTATTGTTGGTGCTTCTGTCGACTGTGCAAATCAGTTTTCAATTTTCCTAGTACTACAGTAGGGGATAACCAGACCGAGTTAAATCCTACACATTGAACCACAGCGCCCATATCAAAATAGTTAATATCTAGAATATCTAGATGCAGTACTAGGTCGCACATTTTAGATCCACTGAGCCAGTTCGAATCGCAATCGGGCATGAGATCTGGTGACACGATGACTAGTACTAGTAAGTCATGATATGCGATACACCCACTGGAACTTTCAAAACCGTGCAGACTCGCACAGCACATCTTCATGAAAGCAGTACAAAGGTATCATGTTTCCATGATCCCCATGCATGATCAAACAAAGGTACCACTCTGCTCTGGAGAGTATAACTATTGTGACTGTGTAGGACGGGAAATCGAACGACCCCCGTGTAGTACACTTATCTCAGGGTCATGCCACCCAGCCATGACGTGATTTACGACCAAGACTCGGATGTGCCTATGACTGACAGTGCTCCGCCTGGGTCACATACTGATCATACTGATACACGGGTTCTCGGTCAGCGACCTTGTGAGCGTGGAGAATCTACCTCAGATGATGACCCAGTGTCATGCATGGTATGCAACTCATACCATGACAGATACACAAGAGGTGTGATAAGGAAGGTATAATAGTCCCTACTGTATCCTATCACCAAGTTACCCCATCATTTTCCCCTTAGTTATTAGCTAGTATTTTCACTTTCAATCTTCACTTCCATTTTTCCATGTATTTCTATTTTGTTCTATGACATTCCATCTCTTTCTATTTTCCTCAGGCATATTCAGCCAACAGACTTTCTTTTCAGCCACCAAGCATGTTTGTAAGCATGTCATGTGACTGGTAGATATCATGATTTGTAAAGATTGAGCTTGACTCATCATGTTTTGTCATGATTTGTCATGCTTTGTAAGATTTCCAACTGTATTTATAAGCTACTTAGTAAGAAGGCTGATTCAGCACACCAAATGGCATTGTTAGTAAGCACATCCTTACCAATCCATGTGATGACTATGCCATGATTCGTCATGCTTTGTAAACTACACTGTATGTATAATGTAAATTAGTAAACAGGCTGACTCAACACACCAAATGGCATTGCTAGTAAGCACATTCTTACCAATCCATGTGATGATTCATGCTTTGTAATCAGGGCCTCCAAAAGGTATATAAGGAGCCCAATTTTGCCATGTAATAAATGGAGCACTTCCCACCTTCACTCATCTCAAACAGTGTGAGATTAAGTAAGAACCTAAGTACAGGCAAATCATTAGCCTCAAAGTAAGACTAAGAAACATTTATTCAATTATATACTACCTTACAGGGGTTGATTATATAATCTATCAGCTATTCTAACTAAGTTTAACCCATACTATTTTCCTCTCTCTTTTACAGGAAGGGAGACACAATTCACGCTACACATTTCACGCTACACACTACACGAGCACGCTAACTCTCAGACACAAATCATACCATAGACTCAGTATACAAAATAAAATTGTTTTAAACTAACCAAGGAACAAGGAAAGAAGGTATATTGAAATAAATCCTCCCAAGAACTCACACATTATCTACCACGAAAACTAGAAAAGTCGTAGACCGTGTATTTAAGGACTGGCAATAAGTCTTATCCTATATAGTTGTGTTGTCACTATATAAGCGGCGTACATAAGACCCTTAAGTGAGAGGACACCGGTGCGCTTCCTCTCAATTGACTATGCGTCGTGATCGTGATTTACAACTAGTTGCAGGAACGTGCGTCGAGAATGATGAATCAGGTGCGTGATATTTAGAGTTGACATAACTTCTACTCTAATCCCTTCCTAAGGATCGTTTCTAGTACTAATCAAGACGAGAGCACCACTTTGACGACCACATCAGAAGTGTGCTGCCGAGCATCATAACCTACTAATGCATCGCTAACCTGCATGATTCTAGCAAAGTGGTTCAAAGGGCAAGGAACGGGAGCAGGGCCACCTTAAGAAAAGACCTAGGAGCTCCGATGCCAGCGATTTGTAAGAAGCGTACTCTGGCTTGGCAGAATTTCTGTTGAATCTTGTGTAGGGCCCACATCCAGCTCGTTCCGTCGGTCCTGTCTCTCGAATTTTCAGAAATGTCTATTCCAGTTGACTGTTTGGCATTGGATCGCCTGCGTTCAGCCGTAGTTCTTCATTGCATTCTGATATAATCCTGCATGACACACAACCGGCAAATCAGTATTTCGGTACGCTTGGCGAGTTTTGACCATTTTGACAGGCTCAGAGCGCACGACAGTCTGTCAAATTTTCACCTCGGGTTCAAATTGTGCCTCCAGAAGGTGGTCGCGCTGGCACTACCAAGCCATTAGCCTCCGAAGCCAGTTTCTCCAGAAACTAGTAGTGAACCTGACAGCGAAAGTGGCAGCGCAAACGTATCAGTTACATTGCCATTTACAAGTAATGTCAACTGTGCCGCCAATCAGCATCCACCTACCACTTCCCAGAGAGGTGCCGGTGACGTTCACAGAGTCTCGTCCCCCTTTCCTGACCGTGCCCAATCATCATGGCGCCCCCCTATTGACGCAAGGTGAAAGTGAGGTTGACAACACAGAGCTAACCGACAACATAGGTGCCTCCATGGACGAGATGGGCACTGACCCGGGTGGTAGTGCACGTCCAACTCATGCTCAACCACGCAGGGAGCGCACGGTGTGTTTAGTTGCTTTGTTGCTTGACTCAGGAATAATATACTACTAGTTCATTCCCAGCGTCCAAAGATGATCTCGATACAGTGAACGTACGGCTGGGTCGCATAGAAACCCATATCACCGACCTTAGGACTGTTGTGGAATCTCGTCATGGTTCATCTCGCAACGAGGCTGTTGAAGATACTACCAATGACGCTGATACAGAAGGGACCTCAACCCCGCAGCCGTTTAAGAAGACTGGTCCTGTGAAGCACAGATCATGAGGGGAAAATAGGTTCAATGTAATTCTTTTCACTTTGAGAATGGTTTCAAGTGACTAACGGCTCACAGGAGCTTATATGCAATCATGCTCGGATTCTGATGAAGTGAATCGGTGATGACGCACCCTTTATGGGTGTAATACTTCCAGATGAAACTTTACTCATGGACTTTGACCCTCGCCGCGGACCTTGCTGTACTGTGGAGAATTTCACCATTGACATTTAGGGCACGCCCAAGTCCACATGGAATATCTCTGCTACCAAAGTATTCGTGCGTAATTTCATCGCCCATCATCCTAATTTCCATTACGATGCTGTCAAGAAAGCATTTTCCATGCATTTAAGGTCCTTGAGGCGCATTTTTAAGCAGACAGGACTCGATGAGGCAGCTTTGAAGGCACGTCAGAAAGAGGATCGGAGAAAGGAACGCAAACGTTCGGTATGTATCCATGGCATGATGATCAAGTCATTCACCGCTTCTGACATGTTTGCAGCTGTATCACAGGTGTTTGAATGTCGCTCGTACAGTTTCTGACCTACGGCAGCATGTCTCAATGCTCTCAAGAATTGGTCCTGATGGTATGAGTAGCGACGAGACGGCAAACGAGAATAATGTTCCTCAATACTGCATACTTGGAAGGCACTGGCATAGCCTTGAAGTTACTGCTTGGCTGCGTATATTCGATGTGATCTATCGTCACAATTGATATGGCCCTGCGGGGATTGGTTCGCGGGGCAACAATGCTTGAATGCGATTTGAGTCCATGTCCATGGGTCACCCACAGAGGGCTGTCCGTCGACTCCCTTGTAATGCTTACCATGCTGAGTGGTATGATGGGCTCGATCAATACGACCGGGAAGAACTTGACAGGTGTGAGGATGAGGTTTATGCCTTCACACACGTCCCTAACATTCAACTGTAAGTTTCCACTATTTGCATTTGAATTTTTACTTCCATTGCCTCATGCTGCCATACAGGGCTTCTCAGAGGCCAACTGGTGAGCCGAGTCATCTTCAACACTACATGTGAATCATGCACTGCTCTACCTTGAATCACGCCATCGTATAGATACTTGAGTCGTCCGAACTTTGCATATCCAGTTCCTTTTATTGAGGATTGTGATTTGATACCAAGTGGATTTAAACCTAGTATCATTTACCTTGAAATCATAGGAGTAGATACATACATCATAGCCGCCTGTACCTCTGTACCCTCAGGCTTGCTTCTGAGTTGGTCAAATATATTTTGTTTTACATCGCAAATGTTAAAGGAAGCAGCAGAGATACATACTCAGCTTACACTCGTTCGATTCAGATTTCTTGTAGGTCTCAGCAGGACCAGTGGCAGCCTGCATTGGGTCTGTTGGCTGAGCAGACATGTTCGTCTCCTTTATTCCCGCTACCTTTAGGTAGCTGGGTTTTTGTGGATCGTTTTTTTTCGAAAATAACACAGATTGAAATTCACTCACACACAAGTGGCAATAATTTGTCATCATGGTTCAATGGAGTATTCTTTCTCACAATTTATCTGGGTGCATGTCTGTATGTGACGCGTGAAATCAATTGTTTTATTTGCTGTCATCATGTCAATGGTCGAAATGTATCAGTTGTGCGGGACAACTCTTCTTCTCATTCGCTGGTTGCTATGTTGTTTGTGTCGCTCAATCGTTCTTGAGACGGCATGTTACGGGCGCTTGTAACTTTGCTCAAAGGCGACGTGCGGCTGTCTACTGAATTTCCGTTTACTGTCCGCAATACTTTGCCGGCCACGGTTGTCTTGGGACATGATTGGTTCGCGTTTTGTCGCGATATTCTGTACAGTCATTCTGAGGTACCTGCTTATACTTATTATTGTCCAAGTAATTGACACTCAGGCAGCCTCAGCTTGCCTTCACAACCATATAGAGCATTTCAAGGTGCAACTGGACTCTGTCAAACTTCCCCGTCTTTCTTCAGTCTCCCGTGATCAGACCATATAGAAGGAAGATAGTCGTACCTTCCGTATTATGCCGGTGACACGGTTTGTGCCTTCGATAGAATGCCTCCACTGTCACAAAGTTATGGCGGCTCGGGAGCTAAATCTTCATATTCGAGAGAAGCACAATCTTGTGAGAGATTTCCAGGCATTGTATGCCAGAAACTCTGGTTATCATGGTGGTCCGCACCGACTGGCAGCTTCTCCTCAATTGTCCACAGGCAACTTGACGAGCACTCCTTCTGAATCAACCAATATACTGAGCACAGAATCCGATCTTATGCTGAGTACAATTTCAAGCACACGGTTTTCTGTTTGGCAGCAGCAGAATCCCGTTTGACCTCGCGCACCAATGACCATTGACAATATTGCGCTATCTCGTAATCATCGAATGGACTCTTCCAAGACTTCTACACAGCATCTTCGCAACTCAGTGAGATTTCAGGTCCAGGATTTGGTAGATGAATTTGAGGGCATGGATGCACTTCATTATTTAATCTAACGTTGCCGTAGCCTGCTGATTGACCTGGAGAAGATGTGAAGAGATTGGGTATCACGGGACAACATGTGATGTCTTATAAATTACAAGGCCATCAAGGACACGTTGTCTGGACTAATGAACCACGTCAGCACTTACCCTCCCTTGTTGCGTATCAAGTGTAATTCAACTGATCTTGTCCAGGCTCAAGTGGAGTTGCATGTCTGTAACCAATCTCTTACCGGCCAGTCCAGACTGCACACGCTAGACATTCAAGACATTGATTGCCAGTTGTTCAACCAACCCACATGCTACTTCTCAGCTAATTACGCTCAAAGACAATAAGGGACATCGAACTTCACCACTGTCCTTACACCTTGCCGTATCCTCTTTTCTTCACTTCGACTCTGCCATCGTCAGGAGTGTAGTTCCCATTGTGCGAGTGGACTTTGACGGAATATCTGGGTGCATTATTGGTTCTTTTGATCCATGGGTTCTGAACTCTATTTTCAGAATCAGGACCATGGTGTAGCTGCCCAAGTGAATTGTTTATTGGCAGATCTTGTTGTAGCTAAGATTACTGCTAGCTACTTTACTACTTGTACTCGAATGTTGTACCGTGGTTCTGATAGTCCCGATATTGTGCATCCGCAACCCCAACAAGCAAGGAAAGAAAGCAAGCATAGAGATGATCAGACTTAGACCAACCAAAACAGGTAGCGGGCCCTGCCACGGATGTGGCCCTCCACAACTTATATCGAGAACACGGAAAGTGCCGGCAGAGTTGCAGACATGAAGGTACGGCGATGATGAGATTGATTTATATGTACCATCCTTTGCTTGCTATTCTCAATCTTATCACACGTACAAGTTTGAATTCAAGGCACTACATAATCTCTCCTTTAGCTGAAGAAGGCGGTGGAGGAAAGGACATCTTGCTCCTCCACTCAGATATTGCGACATTGGCAGGCCCTGCTGCTATTATATCTGTTCGAGTTGTGCCAAGCTTCCTTGTGGTAGCACCAATGCTGGTGCATCTTCACCCCGTGATGAAGATGCCAACCCGTAAGTCCTTCGTGATTCAGGCATTTATAAAATTAAGCTATCGCAGTGTGGAACGCTACATGTTTGACGTCATCGGTGTTGGAATGACCGCAAACACATCCGTGGATTGGCATAATCACGTCTTGAAATGTTCGCCGGAAGCTGCGGTTCTTGAAGATGAGCTTGGGCGCTTGTATGCTGAAGGTCACTCCTGTCTTGGTGTCCAGACAGAGTTATGCGCGCAGTTTACTACTTCATAGACGCACCGGACCATTGCTCTTACACAGCGCAACTTCCAAGCATACTGGCAGAATGCAACCCACTGATTTTTTTTCAGTGTTTATGTTTATTGTCCATTGGGGCGATGCCCTATGATAGACACTCAAACATACAGGTTAACCAACTGGATGGCAAAGCTCGTTCTGGTGGTCCATTGATTGACCTCACATCCTTCAAAACGAAAGGCTCTCTCCAGGGTTCACAAACCAAACTTCTTGTATGATCTCCTTTGATGAAGTGGCTTTGCTCACTAATTGATATTGTGGGCAATTTTCTTGACAGTGGCAATTTTGTATCCCACTTTCTCAACAGATGCAGGCAGTCTATGTCGACATTCGGTCAATCTATGAAGTTTGCGAGTGCCAGAGTAGGATGTGCAAGTGGACTACTCTCGTCACCTCTCAAATTCTCGTCAAGATACCTTGGAACATCTTCTGCTTGTCGACCTTCTTTATTTGCTTGTATGGATGGTCGGATTCCACACTGACCGGACTGGATACACCCATCTGATGTATGGAGTTGTATTCTGCTCTATGGCACGGCGGTCGCACTCACAATAGCTTCCATGACTTTAACTGCATTTATTGCTTCGTTGTTGTTTAGTACGCTCTTCTCATTTGTCGTCATATTGTAAGTTGACTGATAAAATCACTGCTTACTGATTTGTGGTCTAGTAATGGTGCCCGGCAGCCATTCTGTGCACAGGCGGATATCTAGCAAACCCCAATATGACATTGAACTGCTTCTGCTGTTCACTCCAGATGGCCGACTGGCCTGAGCACATATACACTGGATTCATTCTCATCGCTGGCGTGAGGTTGGTATCATAGTTGGTGTCACCGCATATAATGTGAGTTGCGTCCCCTGCTGCTCACTGAGGTTCACGAAGGAATCTACTTTTCCAAGGTTGTTGCAATTTTCACTCTCACCTACGTCTTTAACATTCGGAAGGCTTTTGCTCAAGCACAAGCTGTAATGTAGAACGAAATATTGGGGCATATGAACGATACCAGGATCTTAACAGCGTGTATGTATGTACGGAATCCATGCAGTGTGTTCTACCTTGTTGCAATAGTGGATTGCAACAGGAAACTAGACTCTTCTTTGAAAGTAGCGACCAGCCTGAAAAATCTTTTCATTGCGGTCGTCATCATGAATATCACCATGAAGAATATGCTGTCAGAAAGTGATATCAGATCTATAATAGACAAGAAACTATTGACAACCACTGTGATGCTGTCCTCTGAAGGTCAACCAAGAAGTAGAAAACTACAGAGAAAATGACAAATGTCATTGGTATACCAACGACCATGGCCGCTGTGAGTCAGGCTTTCGATGAATGGATGATCTATCCCTGCTTCGTGATGTCATGGAACCTGAGCATGGTATTTCCGAGTCTGCCATAGCAGACAAGGCGCTGAAAAACTACTTTAAACTGATCATAAACTTCGTGGACAGAAGAATGCCGAAGAACAAACATGAATAACATGCCTCCACGAGAGAAGTTGTGTCAAGGAGGTGACAGAAGATGGTGCCCATCAAGATAGCTTGCAATATTTGTGCGCTTAGGGCCATGTTGACATGCACATGTGTATAACGGGTATGCAGACAAGCTTGGAAGTGGACGATATCATCTCATATAACTTTGGCCCAGACTAGGAACAGATTTCATAAACCCCTGCTTACATCAGCAAAGTGAGCTGTGCCCGAGTCTGGATTCTGAACAAGCTTCTTGTAACTTGAAACATCTTGATTGCAAGCGATGCCTCCATCCGGATCCTCCGTTCAACCTCAGTCTAGCATCCGGGGTCGCAGAGTCCCACTTGCAGAAGCCCATAAGCTTGCATGGATGGAGTCTTTGATACATTCACAATCTACCTCATCCTCCGCCTCCCTCAGGCTGATCTGTTAAGGACACTGATCGGCCTGACGCAGAGCTATCATACCAAAATCAACACAGCTTTCATCTATATGCAATGGAACAGAATTTGATTATAGACATCACAAACTCGGAGAAGTATATGCGAGCATCCATCTCCATGAGTAAGCCTTTTGTTTTCCTTGTTGCGTTCACGGTATTCTGACTGATTGTATCCTCTCACACCTTGCAGAATGGCGGCTGATCATCAAAATTTTATATATGTTAGGGGAGACTACTCTCGCTTGCACATCGTAATCAAACATACCGGTCAACCTCGCTTTGCATTTCGCTGGAGTTAGTGGGTCTTTTTCCACTGTCTCTACTCTCGCAACTCCCCTCTCCATGCTTCCAACAGGTATCTAGAACCCAAAATCGCCACATTCCTTATCACGGATACTTTGAAAGTGTGGCCTGAAGCTGAAAGGGAGGTCTAATATGGCGATCCTGTGGGCTGCCTTATGGCAAGTTTACTAATAAAGATGATTTACGGAATCTCAGTCAATCAGCCCTTTGTTGCCCTCAGATCTCTGTGTATAAGAATCGATCCACAGCAGTCCACTTACTTCACTCTTTCCAATGGCTCTTTCTCGTAGTGCAATGGCCCTGAGATAGAGCGTACCAAGCAAAGAGCACCCACAGATTCAACTGTACAGTGGGGAGTATCCTTCGAGCAGTAACCAATGTAACTCTTTATTTGTTGGTTGGATTTCCCCGAGACATACAGTGGCTCAAAAAAGTGTCCCAATGTTTGTGGGTTTTCATGTAATTGCTTCATTGTGAGTCAGGGTGTGGGAATCTGACTAAGCTATAGGGAGGTGTCAGAACACTCTGCCTCTTGGCTTTATTTCTGTCCCCTGTAGCGTGGGAATCCGATGTTATCGTGTGAAGATATGGACATTTTAATTTGATGCCTCATTGGGACACTTTTTGACTTTGAATTTGACCAATATAATCTCTATAATTCTAGTACTTAGTGTTGCCTCCTCTTGCTCTAATCACTTCTACCACTCTTATAAACATACTATCTATCAATTCCTAGCATTACCCATTAGTAATATTCCCTCACTGTGCTGTAACTCTCTCCCATAGCTGAAATAGCCCCTATTCTCATCTTTAGCTCCTCTTATCTGTCTAACAGGCAGATTTCTACTAAAACTGGCCTGAGCATGGATACTATTGCTAGATTCATCAAAAAGACCATTCAATATAAGAAAAATATCAAATTAAATCACCCTTTTAGGCTCATACCATATAGCAAAAGATCTTTTGGGTATTATATTTTGACTGGGCAGGCTGCTAATACTACTTAAGCCATCACATTCATTTATTCTATTATCCACACCAGTCTCCACTCAAATAGTCAGGAATGCTCTCAAGGCAGCTAACCTTGAAGCTATAACTAAAAAGAACAGCTTCTCCTATCTTCATCCTATAGAAGGAGGAGACTAGCCTTTGCTCTGAAACACCAGTGTTGGACTTTGAGGACTGGAATAGGGCTATCTGGTTAGATGAGGCAAAAATCAATAGAATGGGGTCAGATGACCAGGAATATGTATGGAAAAAGGCAGAAGAACTACTAGGACAAAGAGAAATCAAGAAAACACTCAAGTTTGAAGGAGAAAGCTTGATGGTATGAGGTTGTATGAGGTGGACTAGGGGAGGAATTCTATATGAGGTGGTGGGGAGGATAGATGCAGAGCAGTGCATCTCGATTTTGGCAGAGTGTCTGCTTAAAAGCATGCAGGAATCAAACATTGATGAAGAAGACACCATCTTACGACAAGATAATGATCTTAAGTATACTTCAAGTTGGCTACCAAATGGTTTGAAAACTATGATATTACTGTTCTGTAATGGCTAGTACAGTCTTTAGACCTCAACCCTATTGAACAACTCTAGAAATTACTCAGGAGGTGTATCAGGATCCTCAATAGGGGCTATTTCAGCTATGGGAGAGAGTTACAGCACAGTGAGGGAATATTACTAATGGGTAATGCTAGGAATTGATAGATAGTATGTTTATAAGAGTGGTAGAAGTGATTAGAGCAAGAGGAGGCAACACTAAGTACTAGAATTATAGAGATTATATTGGTCAAATTCAAAGTCAAAAAGTGTCCCAATGAGGCATCAAATTAAAATGTCCATATCTTCACATGATAACATCGGATTCCCACGCTACAGGGGACAGAAATAAAGCCAAGAGGCAGAGTGTTCTGACACCTCCCTATAGCTTAGTCAGATTCCCACACCCTGACTCACAATGAAGCAATTACATGAAAACCCACAAACATTGGGACACTTTTTTGAGCCACTGTATATGGACGTGCTTAACATGACAAAACAATTATACATTAGACAGAACACGATATAGATGTATGAACATTGCAGATGATGTAGCCATCTTGAATTCTTTTGAGTCGTGTTACACTCTTGCGGATTATTCCCTGGCCCTAAGCCCCGAAATCCGTTCATCGATATCACTAAAGGTTGACACACCCACTCCAGCCAGAACTGATTGCCATGATCCAATGACCAACATGCCGATCAGTGCGGTGATTGACTGCATAAATCTGCTTGGATGTAATGATGAAACATTGGCCGACAGCGAGAATGGAGGGATTGAAACAAGATGCGTAACAATCAAGACCCATTTTCTTATTGACTGCATTCACTTAGGCACTAATATGTTGTATCAGACGCCTGGCCCTCTGAGTGCCATTGCTGATCAGACGTCGGGCATCACTTTGCTCGCCTTAGCTATCGAAATCACCAGCTCCGTGCCTATCAGCCTATCGGCATTTCCCACAAATATGATCAATCTTAATGATCTTGATCAGCAACAGGACCACCGATACAGCTGCTATCGTATGACCGGTACCGACTGGTGACCATCAGTCTCATCATTACTGGTGAATGCCATGTACAGTGGCCCTGCTAACTAGCATATGAGCGTAGGGGCGATGTCATTCGACCAATACCATAAACTTTCATCATCCTAACTTCTGTGTCTTCCATATTGTAGAGTGTACCATCAACAAGCTTCCATTATCATGCCCTCTCATAGCCCAAAGACGCTTGCGTTACCTCTCTAGCCTCCTCAAAATGGAATCAATCGTACCCAACCTTTAACAAACGTGTCTGGTACCTGCGGCACCAACATACATACACATTTTCCTTGTCTCACAACACTGCCCGGTGTTATTACCACCATTCCGCATGTGCTTTTGTTGACATTGATCAGCTTTTTAGCCATTGCTTCCTACTCTCCATCCAGACGATGCACATAACCTCATTTTGTCACAAACTATAGAATACATTTATTTGTGTTTACAGTAAATACTAAATAATCAATTTTATATTGTCTTGATGAAGATTCCAAAGCGGGGCTGAGAACGCCGGACCATAACAAAAGTTAGAATTGAAGACGTGTGAAGACAAATGGAAAGTACACAAACTGCAACAACACTAGTAGATAAAGTACTATATGATAAGGAAGCGAAGAAGTAGGACTCGGAGACACAGTATTGCGCCCCGAACTATTCGGCAGATCACAGATGACTGAGATGATGGATAAGACAACAAAGGTCTTTAGGCAGCTACACGTATGTCGCACATGAGGTTTTGGAGGCTAAGAGCAAAAATAACTTCAGACATTGTCTAGACTGGTGCAACTTTCAATTGACCTGAAACCTTCAGGCGTCACTTGTAAGTGCTTATTGTCTTTTGAGTGACCCAGCAAGGTTCCCCAGTTGCGCCAAACCAGAGGCGATGCATTGGGAGGAGAGGATGAACCTGGTTCTCTTGAGCCTCCTCCCAGCCCCGCTGAGCACTCCATATCCACATCTGACGAGTAGTCAGTGTGGAAAGTGACTGATGAATATAGAGGTCCCCACACTCAAGCGACTCATAAGGCGGAGGAGTAAGTAGAGGCTCACAGCCGCGGGAATAAAACCAATGCATGACTTGATCGAGTCCACGAATTTTATGCTCAACACGACAGGCGCTGTACTGGGAAGTACTGGTCTGAGGATGGCTGAGAGTCGCATCGTCGGTCGGAGTAGATGAACCTGCACCAGGAATGAGCCGATATTCAATCTGTAGAGCTGGAGAGTGTGGTTCTGATGATTCCTGAGCTGCATAGGCGAGCTCATCAGGAATCACTCGAGGGGACAGAGAGCGGGAAACTGATGTCGGTGATGGGCCGCAGGCATTCAATCCCGGGGAATCCAGAGTTTGGGAATGTATTGGGGTGTTATTTGGATCACAAATTTGGGAGGATTGACACTCAGAGACATCCGGGCTCATCGAAGGAGGGTGACTTTGAAGGTCAAAGGACATAAAATCTTCAGGGGAGCGAACAGAAAGTAGCTTGGTGTTTCCAAATCGTCGGCGATGAGACAGTGCTTGCTCTTGGAGACACTGCGTGAGGCTAGGTAACATTTCCTCGAAAGACTGCCGGTGAATGGGGAATGGCTGCACAAATAAGTACATAATCTTCCCTGCCAAATATTTGAGTCATACTTACATCCAGTCCCCGTCTAGATACAACAGAACTCAGACATGCATGCGGTTCCCCAGGCTTTGGGAAAGATTGACGGTGAACCGGTACAGGCTATTGAAAATTTAGCACGATTCTCTCTGTATATTTTACATAAACACTAACATCGCGTTCATATTGAAGTGCCTGTCGGTATGGCGCATTTATTGCACGAAGAATACAGCGAGAACTCGTATGAGTGTGGTGCTTCATGAGTAGTGAGCTGAGAGAATTTGTCGTCAGAGGAAGTTGTTGTTGCCAATATTGCCTAAGATTGCCATTATATAGTCGGTGGGTACCTGGGTCCTGTGTCGGACTAAGGAACAATGAGAATGAGAAGATTGACGACGAGCGCTGAACCTACCAGCGCAAACGCAACTTATACAAAGAGACAAAGCAACAACAATGGCAACCTTCACAATTTGATGCAGGGAAGTCAAAACAACTTTTCTCCCGCTACCAGTTAGTGTAACTTGAAGCCTTGGTGGAGGTAAATATTCAAGCTCAGGGTTTGGACTCTAGACTGATGCTTGCGCAGGACTCATCAGATTTTCACATGCCTGGCGGGGTGCCAATCTAGAGCAAATATTGATACAATGTATAGTATGGTGGTCAGACGTCAAGTGATGGTGATACACAGTGATGAAGAACACTTAAGTGTGCCAGAGTAGCGTGGGCCAACAGTTTTAAGTTATGCACTGAGTGATCCACGTGATTCTATTTGTTCGAGTTGCTCCTCATACATATTAAACAATTCTTTGTAAGATTGTAGGGCCGATTGAATTAATACACCCCTGATTCGATGAGGCCTAAAAATGTAAATGTAAAGGTGGCTAGTAACCAGTGACCCTTGACTGGTACCCGCGAAATGGATGGTGTGACGGTGGCTTTCCCATGTGTGAGACCATTGGTGAAGGCAGATGCATAGTCAGAAGCCTGTTCAATACGTAGAGAAACCGATGAATTGAATGTTAGAGATGTTGCACGCATAGCAAAGGATTCCACCAACCTCATGAATTGCCAGGCGGGGCCCAGAATGAGCCTTCTTTGAGGCGTCAATCATATAACTGCCCTGAATATCTAGAGAGGCATCCCGTTTTACTTCCAAAAATCTACAGAATAGTGCATTCTCAACGTGCCTGAAATGGAAACGGTGACCCACCAGATGTAAATCTGATCACCAGGCTCTTTTGGATGTCAAGGCAAACGGGCTAATCAAAGTTGTCGATGTATCCAATTAGTAGGCAACACCCATATGTAGTGATTCGTAGGGAATCTGTGAGAAGGAACAAGGTCCAGGACATGCCACTCTGAGCCAAGTTAGTGGGGCACAGAAGCAGATAGTCTACTTCGACGTGCTTGAATGGGGGAGTGCATTATTCCTGTTTTTATACATCAAGCATCGTCAGAGGTGTGGTGGAGTTCCACATTTAATTCGGGTTGAGGACAATGAACTCATGTTCGTTTGCAATAGAGCATGTGCTTCATGCCCGACTCTGATCATTTATGGCATCGGAATCTTCAACAGTGCCGTAATCGTTGTTTTGATGTTTGTTATTGGAATGCTTGAGGCCAGGCTACTAGGTGTTGAAGATATTTGCACCGAAGGCGAAGTTAAGAGTCTCTAGAATTGAATTGCCGAAGAGATTGCTCACCTTTGTATATTCTGATAGCGTGCAGCAACTTGAAATTCAATTTTTGAGATTTCAGCTACGGTAGGCGTGGGTAACAAATTGGATTATATAAGGAGCCGTACTTACATTTCTCCCAGCGCCTGCCAAAGCATTGACTTCGAATCGACTTCGAATAGACATTCAACGTTCAATTCAAGTTCTTGCATATGTTTTCTCCAGATGGACCTAACCAGCTGCTCATTGTTTTACCTGTTGAAGGCAAGCAAGTCCATGTCTGAAGAGACACTTAATGGAACCAATAACGAGCTCTACAATACAAAGTTATGAATAACGACAACGCAGACGATATCTCCGGAACGTATAGCAGAAACAATGCACCATCTGTAACAAACGGCCAAATTCCCCTGATATCCGATGCAGTACTAGTGGACCGACTATGAGTGCGGGTTTTCTTCAGTTTTGCAACTACTGGCATAATCTGACTTAGACCATCCCTCAGCGTTATTTGGTGACACGTATGCCTTCTCATTACCTCATTACAGTCGATGCCAAAACCAAACCCTGGTTTCTGAGACCAATTCATGATCCTAATAATTACTAGATGACCATGATGGAACTATGCAAGGTGGAACTGTTGCTGGCCAAGTTTCAGCGGCTAGCCGCTCAGGAATATGCTCACAGGTAAGATTCCACAAGTAAATCGCCGCGATGTTAACTTTTGATCAAAGATCTGGTTCCGGACTGCTGTTGAAAAATCGGACGTGCTGCCGCCTCTTAAGCCCAAGCAGGCTTATAGTGGTTTTGTCATGGAAAGAAGGACAGCCATTCTTCTGCAGTTTAGGCTTATGGGGCAAACCTGATGAGTTAGCAAAGCAAGCTTTAACGGATGTGAGTCACACTCCGCATCGCCGTGCCTCGACTCCTCAATGTTTTTGCTCTTTTTTCTCTGCAAGCATAGCTACTGATATCTTCTGCCAGTTCGACCTGATGACTTTGTTTCGCCAATCGCCCACAACAAGCGATTCTGACATTTCCCAACTCAACACCGCTTCCATCGCCCGCGAAGTCCTTAACAAAATACACTTCCTGATCCATGACAGCCCCACAGGCCAAGTATCATGTGCCACACACACCCGGCATTGGCAAGAAACTTATCATTGAACAGTCGACCCCTAGTATTTCCAAATCATTCCATGTTGGATGCCTTCAAATTACAATGATGATCTATGTTGTCATCACAGAAGGGCCTGTACCTCTACTGTAAATGCATCCTTTGATGCACACTCAAATGCGGTTACCACAGCTGCATTGCAGGCGTCACATATGTCGGATATATGGTTCATGAGTGGTTGATCGCTCATTATTGTATTGTCTGCTGACTCCTTGTAGATTTATGACATTCCTAACCATTGTGAAGATGGTGTCCACCGTATTTGTCGTACTGGAGTAAGTTCTCACTTGGCATATTAATTATTGGTCTTGATCCTGCTCACCGTGCTGGTATAAAAGGCACTGCGCCGCCGACTCCACCTTAGTCGATCTCACTTGCCACCATCGACTCCCAGCATCATTGCACCATAAGTTCGTTGTTGTCATATACCATATATCCGGTTACAGATCCGATGATCCGGATCTCAGATCCGATCCAGATCCGATGAACATATCCGTCGTCCGGTCCACAGATCCGCTTTGATTCTTATTTCATTTCCTGTTCATATAACTCTAACTATCGTTCATCTCCTTTCGGTATTCCTGTACACCGGTATACCGGTTATCCTTTACTTCCGCTTTGCTTACTGATCCGCTATGCTTACTGATCCGCTACACTTATGAATCCGCTTTTACTTGTACTTCATTCCCGGTTCATGATTCGTGATCCATCCGACTTACCAATACGCTCCACTTAGACTTTGCTTATACTTTCGTACATAGCCTCGCACCTTTGCTTATTGATCATTCCGTTAGCTATCCGTAGTATATAAACCTTTGTATATGCGCTGTAGTAGATCAGTTCGAATATCATCTTAGATTGCACTCATTCCGTCTGGACTCTAAGTCCCTCCGTTATCCGTCCGGACTTGAGTACGCTACTCTTGTCTACTCCGAGACTTAGGATAGATTCCTATAGTCTACATATCCGCCTCTGTCTTCGGACAGTCCTCACCCGTTAGTTTCTAGTCCGGATCCGGTCCGGATTAGCCGTTACTCTATACGTTCGATATCCGGAAGTCTTAACGGATCCGTTGCAATACTTATCCGTTACGATACAAGACTTATCTGTTACAATACTTATCCGTCTCACTAGACACGATACTTTAGCTCTCTGAAATAAGGGGCAAGACTCGGGAAAGGGGCACAGCGCACGAGCTGAGGCCGAAGCCCTTTGGATCCGATACTACTTGAGTACGGTCTTAACAGTTGTCAGTGTTTCTTCATCAACCGACTTAATATTATTATTGTTATCTCATTGCGGTCATGGTCGCCAGGGTTTTTCACAGGCAACATCGATAGTGCCGTCCGATTTGTGGAACATTTTTCCTGCGCATGCGCTAGTTCTTATATCCTCTGTAGTGATGGGAAAACCCAGTAGCACATGTCAGGTCGACCAGGGGGGGAGCAGTCTCGACTCTCAGGTGAAGGCGCCAATACTCTTTCAGCATTCAGTCTTGGGAACCAATTTGTGCATGCTCTCTGCACTATCCTGTGCGCCCTTGCACAGGCTTTGCAGTTATTCTGACTTTCAAACAAAAGAGTGTAGTGACTCCCGTGGGCTACAATGATCCTGCCAATAGCCGAAGTGCGTCGTCAACCTGCAGAATCCCACACCTCCGGCATTGAGTGCTATCTTAATCCTCATCGTCATTGCTACTATGCAAACTCAAGCCCCACTCATTTGTACACTTCATTTCCACGTAGCTAAATATGACTTTTCTTGCTGCCAACATCTTTGTTTGAATTATGCTATAGACTCTAACATATTGAGGGTTTCCAAATTCATCTGCTGTGACCCTCAATGCTCACAATGGAGAGAATATGTGCTATGTTGAGGCTCGTCAGGGAATCGACATGCCGTGAGAACTTTGTCAAAGTGAAGGGGAGTCTGATTCTGATTCCACCAGTCTAGCATGTCCCTTATGTCAGAGACCATATATCTTGCTGCAGTCGCAACAATGGCCAGCAGAGCAGCATCTGTACCTGTAACTAATGGACAAGATGAGACAGTTTTGTATGTGGGTGGGGACGAAAGGGAGATATTATTGAAAACTCTTAGGGCAAGTGGCACCTTCAATCAGTTTCAGTCCTAACTTGACTGAAAATACAGAACTGCGCCTTTAACCACCGGAGGTTATCTCCTCCATGCGAGGTCCATAGAGAGAGTAGTAAGGTCGTATACGCAGCCAAGCAAGTTGATCTTTTTTTTTAGTTGATGATACTGATCCACCTGTGTGTGCAGTAGGACAAAGGCTATCCCTCCAGGTCAAGCAGTCGCACTGTGGGCCTTATCTGTGCCTTTGACCCTGTCTGACAATGAACGGAGAAATCATTCGCAGCTGGCGAATTTTCAACATTTCATGTCAGTGCACTGGAGCATCCCAAGGCAAACCCCACAGGGGTACACGCTCCATCTAACGTTGTTAGGACAGGTTTGTTGATTCCTTCAGGTGTGTATCTGATGATACATTGACATTGTGAACCTCAATTATCTTCAGGTATACAGTCTATCATTGATATCACTGAACCGAATCCATCGCAATCCTACCCAAGGCGCACCTCGCTTAGTCCATGTTTGTTACTGACAACAATGTCAAAAATGTAGCGCTCACGGGGTTAAACAGATCTTGCAGATGAAAGTAGTATTCCACTTATTTCTGGTGATAGTCAGCAGCCATCATTCCATGAACGACCCTTTCCTAAGGGTACTGGTACGGGAAGAACCAGATGGTTCTGCTCATCCAGTGCGCAACAGCTTCTCTGTCCGAATGAGGACATTGTTGGTGTGGTTGGGGACCTCTACGTCCACACAAACACTCGTTCTAGAATAACATACATATGGGTCCTGCATCCTGATGAAGGTTGGGCCCCCATTGAACCAGGGGATGACCACCCTACTGTGCCTAAGAGGCGCTTACGAATTCACAAATGGTAACCCGAGCTGGGTTCATACTCGATCATTAATTTCAATGGAGTCGAGAGAACGTCGCCACTGAACATTAATAAAGATCATGTGTATGAATAATGTTTGACGTAGGAATATCAACATCCGTCTCGACTCTTGAGCTTAAAACAGGACATGGAAGTATCATCAGCCAGGTTTGATGCCAGCGGGCGCAATCGCCGTCAAGCACTTCTTCAAGTAACTCACCTACAGCCGCTCATCCTATCAGAAGCACCAGAAAACACTGACCAACATACCTCCATCAGCCGCCAATGCCTCCAACTGATACCACACGCCTTTTGTCTCTAATTTGGAAAAGGTACGGTTGGTTTCGGCGGGGAATTCTTGTTCTGTTGGCAATAAGAATAACAGTTGAACAGAGGAAAGATCTCTGACGCACACTTTGAGGGTTCATTTGATACCCCTATCAGATTTGTTGTTGATAAAGGTAGTGCTTTTCTGATGATTGCGGAGAGTAGAGGTCAACCAGGTGATAGTCAATGCTGTACGTTTGTTGGCCATCGAGTTGACTGTAATCCAAAAAGTGTTGACAGCAAGACGAATTAAACCATGCTCCTGTACTGTGACAAAGTTGCGAATTACATACCACAAGAAGATCAGTATTGTCATGATCCAGGAAGTCTGTCCAATACTTGAGAACGTTTGTGTCGTCAGTGAGAGGAAGACTGAAAGAGCGGACTCCTTTTGAATATATGAAAATATGCTCGTTACCATCTAGGCTACCGATAGTGTTCTCCTTTGATCTGTACTCGACTTGTAGCTGTGATATGATTCGGAGGAAATCGCCAATGCACTGCAAAATGATGTTGTCGTCCTCAGAGGGATTGATGTTTTTGAATCTCGATGACCTTCAAGTTATTTGATGACAAGACCGCGACATGTTTAGACCAAGTAACAAGTATATGTCACCTCAAAGGTACCAAAATTGCGAAAATGAACGCCGATCAGCTATAGGACAATAAGACATGTTGTAGCATGTTACAACTTACAAGTTAATTACAAGACCAACACCGATTCAAGATGATGATGTGGGGGACGGTAATCAGAAGAAGCCATCGGAGGTGGAAACTGTGGCGATTCGTAGTATCCCATACCAAATTGTAGCGGCGTCGAGCACCATTCCTGCCCAGATAGTCTCTCAATTTGATTTATTCCCACCCAGTCCTCCTGTCATTTACTGTCATGGCACAGTTGTCCCCTATGTCTAGTCTGCTTGAAGCTACTTCGAGTCAGACCTTCGGGCGTCCTGAGCTCGGACGGCTTGCTAACCAAAGGCTGTCCTCAGCCTGGCGAGTCCAGTAGTCGCCACATTAATTTAGACTAGCACTGCAGCATACCAAACCCAATGGTCAGATCCATCTTCATCTTTATACTATGGTGCTCGAGCATTCTCTTTGTCTACCCATCCCTTACCACCCACTGAACTCTGAGTGTTGATATCGGGAGACGAGGAAGGAAAAGTCACAGTTAACGGCCTTTTGCCATCTATCGTCCAACCATATGGAGCAAAGACCGCTGGTGGAGGTTGCCCGAGCCCGAGGATCGTCGTTCTTGCTGCTAATGCAAGGACAAAATGTGCAAGAGCTCCTCCACGCCCGAGTTTTGCGAAGCCTGTGCGAAAGCCAAGGCAATGTGTCATCTATTCCCTGAGGAAACCAAAACCTGGGCACTCACCTATGCAGAGCTTGTCCATACATGATCTGAGTCTCCAAGTCCACTCATTACCATTCAGCACTATGTGAGGCAAATCCATGACAGGCTGAAGCAAGTTGCTGCAATCATGAAGCAGCATGTCCAATGGTCACTGGTCACCTGCAGGCGAATTTATTTGGGTATGGTCACAGGTCACATGGACATTTGAACCTGTGACACTGAGTGTGACATAGTCACAGGCTGCATGTGATGAAGCCAATGTTGTATCTCTACAGTACTCTACATACTTCTGCTATGCCCCTCCATCTTCTTCAACACAACACCTGTCTTCAATTCCCAAAGATGAAGTGTCTTGTCCTTTGAGCTCAGTGTTCTGCACATATGTTTGAGCCATGTCAGCATTCCAACATGTGCTGGGTGTGTGCATAAAGCACTGGTGACTGTTGGGATTGGGTGGGCAGTAGATGGTGCTGGTGGTGTTGTAAGTGCTTGCACACCTGGCATGGGTACACCTGGCATGGGTATGTACTCACCATGACCTACATCTATACCCATACCCGTGTCCATGAGTACATACCTGTGGTGGGTATGGATACAAGTTAACCTCAAGACACCTGCAGGTTTACCTGTGCAGATCCCTAATTGCCAAGAACTTTGCACTACCATTGGCCAGCAATTATGTTCCACACAAATGCATGATTGTCCTTGGCTGTGAGAACTAAATATTGACTGAGAATCAATGCATTAAGGAACATTAGCAGCAAAGAACCAGAAATGGAGCTTTGGGAGTTAACATGGAATAATTACCATATATGGAAGCAACAGGTATGCAAAGTCCACATGAGCCTTCGTATCAACTGGAGGGTACAAGTTCTCCCTATATCTGCCCTCCCAGCATCCACCTGCAGGATCTCCAAACCACAAGTGGCCCACGCCAATGTCCGCATATGTGTGGAACAAACCCAACTCCATAGCAACAGTCAGCAAACATGGGGCGAATCCAGTTCATGCCGCTCAGCCAACATCCGTCACCATCAGCTCGACAATAGGCATCTTACGGTCATGCTTAGCTTCCTCATCAGATGTGTTGGCACCCGTGGCCTGGAATATGGGCATGTCATGTGGATTTGGAGGGTTATAATTACCTGCCACTTCCGCTGTCATAGCCTGGTGCGCCGAATGGATAGCAGAGGAAGAAATTGTGGTGTGGATTAGGAGTATCATTTCAGATGGTGCTGACAGTTAGTATGTCTCCCCGCCACGCACCTTTTTTATCCTCTGCTACCATGTTCATATGGTAAGGTAGACTTGACCGTCCCTCCACATCCAGCTTACAAAGGCAGTTACAGGATATTTCAGCATGGTACAACCGCCAACAACTGTTCAATTCCTTGTGTCAGTGTGACTCAACCCCGTTGAAAGAACGAGATTTTTATCCATGTCTTGAATTACACGTGGGATGCTGACACTTGGTGATGGACGTTATTTCCATCTGCCAGAGCAAGCTCACACACGGGATTCAGTCGTTAGACTGATCAGACAGGCAAGTGCATTCTCATGGTCCTCTTTAGACACTTTCGTATGTTGATAAAACATGCATACAGTGATTATAAGGTCCCACTGAAGACCGTTGAGGCGTTCTCAACCTGGCTGGGCTGATATGAAATATCTAAAAATGCTCAACCAGTATAAGTGAGTCTTGGCTCTGCCTAGCTGCTATACTCGCAGAATGCAAGAACGTTCGACCCTAAAGGGGACTGCTACTGAACACAGAACCAGATGAAAGAAAGACCCTTGAAGTGCGATGGATGTGCGAAAGTGCAAGAAGAAAGCGAAGTGAGCGCGAAGCGCGAGAGAGCGCACTAAGGTAAGCGCGAGCGTGGGAACGTGAGCGCTAAGGCGCGCGTTGTGCGGAAAATACCGGATAAGGAAACGGATAAGGAAGCGGATGTGCAAAGCGAGTGCAAACGCAGAGCGAGTGTTATAACGAGCGTGGATAAAGGTCTAGTATAAGGCGGATAACGATAACCATTGGAAACACAAAGTGCGCCCAAGTGGTGACTACTACTTTAAAGTAAAACCCAATAGCGAGGGAAGTACAGCAAAGGGGAGTAATAATGATGGAGTAGTAAGTCAGCCACTTTATACTATGGAAATCGCATCGGAAGCGGAAGGGATAGGAGCAATAAGCGCTATGAATACGTAATGACATGTAATAACGCTGCAATGCTTGTTACAAACCACGAGGCAAGGCATATGACGTACCAATGAGGTGGATGGACATAGAGGGACGTTCCTGGATGATAGGCAATGCAGGGCAATGCAGGGCGCTTAAGTGCAATAAAGCGCGCAAGGTGCGCATGTGGGAATGCTGCGCGTTGTGTGGGAAAGTACCGCGCCTATGGCGCGTTTCACGGGAAAGCTGCGCGTTATGTGTAAAACGACTAGGGACATGATAGAAGTCGAATATAGCTGATGGTGCAAGTCGTGCATTGAAGGCCAATTGTCATGAGTTGTGAAAAGGTGCGAAATGTGCCTATATGTGCCTGCAGAAACGCGAGTCTCTACACCGCGTTATGTCTAGTTCACAATATCATTCGAATTCACAACCCAGATGATCTGTTAGATTACCGCCATATAGATTCAGACAAGTGGAGCACTCCATACTGTACTGGTGTACTTGCTGATGGACCTCCAACTGAAGCAGTGCGTACCCGCGCACATATCCAACGTGATCGAATCGCACATCAGATGTGGGAGGATTATCTGGAAGAAAGATGTTGTCGAGGGCAGCCAATGCCACCTGGTGTAGATGGCTAGTTAATGTCTTACTCATTCAAATGTATTTCAAATGTATGTGCCACCTGAATTCATTGCATTCAAAATTGTAACACAACGGACAAGAAAACATTTGTATAGCCTAGCTACTGTCCTTTCCATGAGCCTGTAGGTAATCTGCTAAAAAGAGTTTCCGAACACCGTCTCAAGTAATGTTAAGGTAAGAATCAGCGGCAGTAACATCAGACTGAAATACTTTTATCAGCGTGAGAACTTCATGATCATCCAGATCACGTTCTTCTTGCACCTGGCAGATGGGCCCTTTGCTTGTGCACTGGAGCTGGCTCAATGAGATGGTGTGAAACGACCTCCTGAAGCGTCGTAGTAGCAGTGTTAATGCTACTCAACACTTTCCTACCTAGCTCCTCCAAAGCGAGGGGCATAGGAAGACACTGTGATTTCGAGGACCCTCCTGCACTCTTACCCGACTTTGAAGAATGGGGAGGGCGAGACTCCTGGCGTGAGCTATCATCATCGACGGCCTTGTGTTTAGGCAATGGCACGGGTAACCCATGGGTATCCACGAGCGTACCTGCACCCGTACCTGCCACTTACCTCCACCCACAGCCCAAGGGTATGCTCGGGTACGGGTTTCGACGAGGGTATGCAAAGGGTATCATGGGTAAATAACCCATGGCGGGTAACCCGTGACCCACGTACATATATATAGGTACAACGAATGTTAGTAGTAGTAGTAACAACACAATAACAGCCAAATCTTGATGGCATCCCAGCCAGTAAGCAAGTCATCCTCTTTGCCATCAACATCTGCGAGTACAGCGACAGCTTTCACATCATTGTCGTGCACCAAGCCTAGTTTGCTCCAGATCCCAACACATAGTAAAGCATAAATGGTTTGTGATGACAGTTGGCTTCGAATGTGTGAGAGCAACAGCCGTCCACGGCTAAAAAATGTGTTCAACGTCGATGGATGTAGCTGGATTGGTAGGGTTAGTTATGATGTGTCACGGCTGAGGCAAGAACATACCAGGAATACTTAAATAATCAATTGCCATGCGGTGTGGGTATCACAACCTGGCAGGCACATATAAGAAAAGTGCTCAGCCAGTATAAGTGAGTCTCAGCTCTGCCTAGCTGCTATACTCGCAGAATGCAAGAACGTTCGACCCTAAAGGGGAAGCAAGGAAAGCAAGGATCCACGGAATGATGCTGAACAACCCTGGTGAATGGCGGTGAAAGCGCGAGAAATGCGCTGAAGGCGCGCGCAGGAAAGTGAAGTGCGAAGGTGCGCGGAGTGCGGGAAGGTAGTGCAAGCAGTGCACAAGTGTAGAAGACAGATACTGGGACTGATAAGAGGGAAAGTGCGGATCTAGACGGATACTGATAGTGCCCACTAGCTATAGACTGATGCTAGGGCCTCAAGATGATGAAGGACACATGCATTGCATGGAACTAACTGATGATAGATACCGAGTGGTAGGAAGGTGGTGGTATGAAGCTAAGGTGGAATTGTTGGGTGTAAAACGAACATGAGTGTATGTAAGTTCTACCTAAGCGCTCTCCCAGGGCTCGGAGCCGAATAGGGAGTGCTCTAAGTATGTAAATGAGGTAAAGTGATGTAAAGTAAGGGTCCATGACAAAATGGGAAGTGTAATATGCCAAATATGGTCAGATAACGAAAAGGGACATACCAAGGGACTGGTTGGACGATGGATGGATGCTCCTGGATGATGTGCGACATAGTGCGCTTAAGCGCGAGAAAGCGCGCACGCGGGAATACTGCGCGTTGTGCGAGAAAGTGTCGCGCCTATGGGCGCGTTCCGCGGGAAAGTGGTGCGCTCTATAGGGAAGTCATAGTGGATGATGGTGCAAGTTGTGCCATGAAGGCCAGTTGTCAGAATTCGTAAAATGAGCCCATATGTGCCTGCAGAAACGCGAGTCTCTACAGCGGGAGAGACATGGGTAGGTTGATCGGTGCTTGTGCCACCAAGCAATGACACTGCCAGGGACATGCTCACAGTCAGTGCTGAGATACGTGGTGAGCTCATCTGTGACCGAGCGCATGGGAGCTGTAAGAGCAGGGAGACAATCGAAGATGTTATCTTTTTTCGAGGACTTGGACTCGGAGAAAATTAGCTATGTCCATGATAATTAATGAACTGACATACCTTTTGAGCGTCTGGCTCATGCGAACCAGCGCGCGACTCGTTGTCGTCCGAATCAATGGCAATATCAGTATATGAAAGGTCAAACTCATCCCGCACAAGGTCAGATGCAGTTTTGATCCAGTCCGCCTCCCAACCCGCATTCTTGAAGTAGTTGAGCTTGTTGCGCGGATGAAGCACTTTGATAGGTTCATTAGTGTAGTTAGCATCAAACGAAGTGAATACAGACATACCCATGGCGATTTGGTATGTTTGAGACATGTCAGTAAGCGAGTAGTAACCTGTCCAGTGTCTTCTTGCCCATAGCGAGAGATGCACGAATCGAGGTGTTGAGGTCTTTGTCAAATGAGTGAGTAGTTAGCATCTCGTCGATATGATCCATGGCAGGGATCACAATAGCGAGGTTTGGGGTAGCGCATGAAAAGAAAGTGGTTGCATCCTTTAAGATCTAGATGTGCGCCATGAATCAGTACATCATGGACAATACTGCGACTTACCAGTAAAGTGTCCCGCAATTGCTTAGCTATTCCCCACTCGCTCTCACTCAATTCAAACTTGTGCAACCCAAATTTGCGATCTCCGGTGAAGTCATCAAGAGCTTGATGGTACTCAATGGCGAAGTCTAGCATGTCAAAGGTAGAATTTCACCTGGTGGAAACATCCCGAGGCATGATGCGAACTGGTAGTTGTAGCTCGTCGAGGATCACCTTCCACACTGGCAAAAACAGTGTGGTGGAGTGAATTATCTTGAACGCAAGTTTCTGGAGCTGTACCATGTGATACGCTGACATGTCAGTGTTGTTTACAGTGAGTCATCACATAACCTACTTTCACAAGCACCAGCTTGACCGGTCTGAGTGTCTTATGCAGTCCTGCATGTTCGGCAGGACTCAGATTTTCCACCTCGTCGACCCACCCATCCATATCATCAATGTCAGCATCTTCAGGATTTCCTTCACCTCTCTCTGCAATTGTCCTCTCATCATCAATGGTCATGCCTTTCACAAGTTCCTGCAAGAGTTGTTCTTCAACATCGTCATCGTCCAGGACATCGAGCACTTCGGGGGACTCGTCATCGTTGTCATCTGGAATGACACTCTCGTTTCTTGGTATGTCAAACTGTCGCATTATTGACTTTGCAATGAGATTGACGATATGGAGAAAACAGCGTGTTCGGCTGAGTTCGCCACCAAATGACTCGACTCGCTTTGCAAGTTCATTTGTCAGTGTGTCATTCGCACTCGCATTATCCGCCATCAAGCTCAGCATCTATTACTTTGTGAGTAAAATCTTGAGCTATGTTTTTGCACGCACCTTATCTGATATACCGAACTCGTCTAGTATTTTTGCAAATGCAGCAGCAAGGTTTACCCCCGAGTGAGACTGGATGTTGGTTAGTATACAGTGTATCCAGGTACAAAGCCTTTATTGTACCTCTGAAACCTCAACTATGTCCAATATCATCGCTGATGGCTCTCCATCATGTTCTAGATGTACAGAGACTGCAATGAATACCTTATGGTTGGGCAAAGTCCACCTGTCTGTGGCAAAACTCAACTGCCCATCATATTCCTGGTAAGATATGAGATTTATATTGTGTTTGAGTATAGTGAGGGTACTGAACTTGTAGCATCTTAGCAATTCGTTGTCGTGTGCGAGTGAACACCAGCTTAACGTCGCGCGAGACTGTTCATGGAGAAGGTATGTAGTACTCAGGCCTACCCATTTTCATTAATGACTGAAAGCCATAATCTTTGGCGATTGTGAATGGTCGCAGGCTTTCAGCCACCCAGCAGACAATCTCTGCTATGTTGCCACCATCAACTTCGACATCAGCACAATCACAACATGAGTACGTACTTTGTTTCTGTTCTTGTGTGTTGCCGGTGCAAATATGTGACCTTGCCTTTCCCTGTGCGTTCAAAAGATGCTGTGATAGAGCCGTCTTTTGCCCCAGAGATAATGGTACGTGCCTCTTGAGCATTCTTTGTTTCATCAGCGAGCTTAACAGTCTCTTCGCCCCAACAGATCTTAGCGTGCTTCTGCATATTACTGGTCAACTTTGCATCCTTCTTGTCAAGGTAACGACGGACCCCTTTCTTGCAGCTCGTTGCTGCGCACTTGAATTCATGGAAGCGGCGGCCTTCGTGATAACCAATTTCCAGAATTGGGTGATAGAATGCATAAACAGGCGAGTTCCAGTCCCCCTTCAGACGTTCTATGCTCAAATGTTAACTAACTCATCACCTTGGTTATGTATCCAGGCTTACCAAGTTCAGTTTCCGAACTGTTATCAACATCCTTGTGTTCGGAGGAGACCTCAATAACATCATTATCACTGTGAAGAGCCTCTTCCTCTTCCTCGGTTCAGACGACTGCTTGATGGCTTTGTGTCAAAGGAGTTGGCGAGTCTTCGGAATCTGATGCCATGGTCATGGGACGCTTCCCTGACTTTTTGGAGGTAAGTTCATGACTTGCCTTATGTTTTATGATCCGTTTGATGTTTGATAAGAATTCTCGTGCCTTTTCGGTGGGCTTGCACTGTCTTTTGTCTGCCATTGATGCGAAGTACGAGATTTTCTCAGGTAGAAGCAATTCTTAGATTAAAAGTATTTCCTTAATAGATTAGGGTGGCAAATCCTCATTTAAGGTTTGTAATGATGTGCCATATAAGGGTAAAACTGTACAGTTGAATTGCCTTCATGTTCAAATGTTCGCGAGCTAAATACCCACCAACCCATACCTAGGGGTATGGGTATTTGAAGGGTCAACAAGCTGAGACCCCTACCCAACCCACAAGTACCCCTACCCATGACCCACGTGGGTATCCAAAACCCATGACATTGCTTACTTGTGTTTGACAGCCGTCGAAGAAGTTGGTGTCGAAGCAGAAATAAATGAGGGTGCAGGAAGGGGTAGTGTACTGCAACTGTTAGAGGGCATGATTGGCAGGGCGACCTGAACTGGGACAGTGGAAGATTGGGTCTGGGGGTCTAGGGAGACAGGCATCATTTCGGTATCAGCAGGAGTGCCAAATTCGACGTTTTCAAGCACGTTCTCTCATGACATCATTATGATGTCACTAGGGCTGGCGCTGCCTGTTGGTGTCGAGGTGTTTGCATTCAGGTCCATGCTGGCGTGGAAACCAGTCCAGCTATTGGTATCAGGGGGGAGAATGTCCAACAGCGCTTCATAATGCGTCCAGCCCATTGTTTTGACAGACTTGACTTGTGGGTCAGCCTACAAAAATACTAGTTAGTGTAGTGAAAAAAAGGATGAAAAAACAATACCTTGAGTAGATCAGACCATATGGTCTCAGATTCAGCGGTAATGTTAGCCCCATGGTCGCAAGTGTACGTTCTGCCAGAGGCATTCACTACTTTGTTGACAACTTTGAACATTTTACACAGCTAGAGTAGCTATCAGTGACAGCGCCATAGACAGTTAAAATGAATACATACCTGCTTCCATTTTTGTGGGCAAGCATCAGAGGATTTGGCAGGGCCCACCCCAGTGCTCTTAGATGCCAGCTCTGCAGCTGCAGAAACCCAGAACGTTTTATCAAAGTTCATACCATCCACGCCTTTGGCTCGTTCACTGGTGATATATGCGATCAAAATCATCAGCAAAACCCTAACCCTATGTGCAGCACTGCACAACACTGCACAGCAATCACAGTGTCACAGTGAGGTCCCCCCATGTACAGCACTGCACAGTGCTGTACACTACACATTTTCTCAATAAAATGTAATTGTTAGCATACCATCTTGTTATATATATGTTTGTGACTACATTACACTCATTTTTACATAGAATCAGTACTTGTGTGATGCTGCAGAGCCTTTACAAAAAACTCTGTGTGACCTGTGACATGCTGTGTGGCTGTGGCGCTGTACCCAAATCAGGGTTTTGCTGATGATGTTTTCATCAGCCAGGGACCAGATACAACGGGGATCTTTCGTCTCAGTAGATTCGTTGGTTTGGGGTGATTTCTTCTTCCCCTTTGTCTTAGCCATAGCAGTTCTACTGCGTAGATGGAAGCGATTGGATGAAGCTCAGGTCGGGGGCATAATCAATAAGACAGTACTTACAATATGTGACATGCCGCATCAGTCACAGCGACCAGCAATTCGGCAAGCTTACTAACATAGTTCGTAGTTTAGTGAAGTTCACAAAATCCGAGCTCCCGAATGGAGTCTAAGGAGTTATAAGCAAAATATTACGAAGTGGTGTGTTCAAGAAAGTTCAGGCACACAAGTAATATGACTAATGTTTCCATAATTTTCCTTAGCCGACTTGCAGCCACCATAGTGCTGCTCAATTCTAAAATGTCGTTGTCAATGTCGACTTGACCTTACGGACAACCTCTCGTAAATTACTCACGCAGACCTAAAACCTTTCCTTATTTGGCCACCTCCGTTGGTTAGACCTTCGCATGGGAGACGTTCTACTACACTACACCTTGTCGCAGAGTATCCTCGTTCTAATCCTCGCTGTTAGAGACTTAGAGCCCAACTTGAAGTTAGCTACCTAAACCTTTCCATGCAGTAGTAATAGTAGTAGTATTCCTAAACCTTTTCATATTTATTGCTAAATGTCCTCCTAAACCTTTTATTCATAATACTTGTAGTCTACTAGGTATCTGTTCTGCTCGGGCGAATTTTGAGTGGTTTAAGCAATTTTGCACGCAGTACTTTCGGTACTAATGAGACATGTTGAACTGGAATATTCAAAGACTTTGATTTAGGGAAAGGTTTAGAAATTATGGAGCAATACTACATTAAATATGAAAAGGTTCAGGAATACTACTACTATTACTACTGCATGGAAAGGTTTAGGTAGCTAACTTCAAGTTGGGCTCTAAGTCTCTAACAGCGAGGATTAGAACGAAAATACTCTGCGACAAGGTGTAGTAGAACGTCTCCCATGCGAAGGTCTAACCGACACGGAGGTGGCCAAATAAGGAAAGGTTTAGGTCCGCGTGAGTAATTTACGAGAGGTTGCCCGTAAGGTCAAGTCGACATTGACAACGACATTTTAGAATTGAGCAGCACTCATGTCCCTTAGAATAAGCATCATTAAGTACACAATCACTACTTAATTCTATTTATTCTCCTTAGCTACCTTGGTAAAATTTTCAAGTAAAACAAGGAACTCGACGTTTTCCTGATGGACTCTGAATGACATTTGTTTTGTTTTAACTTGACGCAAGTCGATATAGGCTGTGGAGCAGCATGATACGTAGAATATACCCAGCCTCGACACTTGAATTAGACCACAGATACTTGGGAATCCCAGAATGTCGCCACAGCTGAGGGTGACCGGAGTGACTCAAACACGCATACGCCATACCAGAAAAATCGTCATATTACGCGATCATACAACCATTTCGTACAGTTCCACCTCTTGAAACTACCTCGACAGACCATTCAAGAAACCCGCATACCCGTATTCACCATCAAAACCCTCAACTCCGCTCCGAACACCATCAACGTTGTATTGCATTACCCAACATTAAGGTCTTGCTGAAGACAAGCGGATCAGCAGGATTGTTGCCGCAACATGACAGTCAAACATACACAGGCGATGATTTAAACTGATTTCAAGAATAGTCTTGGTTAGCTCCGCCTTCGCCAAAGATTTTTTCTCCTTCTGAGAGCGTTCAGACAGTAACTTTACCATCCAAGCAGGCATTTTTCCTTTAACAGCAGTCTTCGTGGCTTCTTGATATGCTTGGACAGCGGCCATTACAGCTTCCCTGACACCAGCTGCATGCGGAGATGCCATGTACTGCTCGAGAGCGACATAAAAAGAGGGATCAGACTTCTGCTTGTCCTGAAGATAGCGCCGCTTGTCGAAAACGTAGAAAGAATGTTCGAAGATAATGACAACAGCTAAATGATCAATAATAAGTAGGTTCATTGCAACGTAGCTTCGAAAATCACCAGAAATGAGCTGAACATAGTTCACCAAGGGTGATGAGCCAGAGGCCTGGCACATTCGCAACATCAGAAATGTGTGTACAGTCAGTGACCAATTGGACATACCACAGAGAGTAACCTAGACTGCATCTCTTCACGATGATTCGCATACATCTGGTCAAATCATGGTGGAAAGTTGAATATCGTCCACCTCTGCTGAGGATTGATACACCCACATCCTGCCAATGTGTAATTATCTTCGGTCAGCATGACCCGAAATCAAGGAAGGACGAAGAAACTAACTTCCTATTGATGGATGAGCGATGTCGTCGGTGAGCAACACTGGAATATTAAAACACTCACAGTCTGTTAAGGGATGTGCGATTTCAGTCGTAAGCAAAGCTCGAACTCGACGGAAGATCAGCACACTGACTTTCTGTCAGTGCATGAGTATTGTCAGTGCTGAGCAGTGCTGAAGCTCGATTGGGGGGTGAAGAGACTCACCGCCTGTCAATGGATCATCGATGTCATCGATCAGCAACCCCCGCACTCAGCGGCAGATGAACACACTCACATACTGTCAACGGGGATCGGTAATTTCATTGGTCAGTGATGCTCCAATTCGACTGAGGATCGATGTGCTTACATCCTGTGAACGGATGGGCGATGTCTTCAGTCAGAATAGGTCGAGCACAATGATGGATCGACCAACTCACAATCTGTTAAGGGAGCAGCAACATTTTTGGTCAGCATTGCGCGAGGGTGACAGAGAATGAATACACCCACACCCTGACAATGGATCAATGATTGCATCGGTGAGAAAGGCAGGAGGTCGACAGAGGATGATCACACTCACAAGCTGTCAATGGATCAACGATTTCGTCGGTTAGTGGCTCAAGGTCGGTAGAGGATCAATGTACTGACCTCCTGAAGATATATATCATCAATTGCTTTGGTCAGGAATGCTTCAACTCGACAGAAGATCAACGCGCTCACATTCTATCAACGGATGGGAGATGGTTTGATTCAGGATGGCTCGACTTCGAAGGAGGATCAAGACACTCACACGCTACGAACAGTGGGCAACGACATGAATCAGCATGGCTCGAGCTCGAAGGAGGATCAAGACACTCACACGCTACGAACAGTGGGCAACGACATGAATCAGCATGGCTCGAGCTCGAAGGAGGATCAAGACACTCACACGCTACGAACAGTGGGCAACGACATGAATCAGCATGGCTCGAGCTCGAAGGAGGATCAAGACACTCACATCCTGCGAACAGTGGGCAATGACTTGGATCAGCATGGCTCGAGCTCGAAGGAGGATCAAGACACTCACAACCTGCGAACAGTGGGCAATGACTTGGATCAGCATGGCTCGAGCTCGAAGGAGGATCAAGACACTCACATCCTGCGAACAGTGGGCAATGACTTGGATCAGCATGGCTCGAGCTCGAAGGAGGATCAAGACACTCACATACTGCGAACAGTGGGCAATGACTTGGATCAGCATGGCTCGAGCTCGAAGGAGGATCAAGACACTCACAGCCTGCGAACAGTGGGCAATGACTTGGATCAGCATGGCTCGAGCTCGAAGGAGGATCAAGACACTCACAGCCTGCGAACAGTGGGCAATGACTTGGATCAGCATGGCTCGAGCTCGAAGGAGGATCAAGACACTCACATACTGCGAACAGTGGGCAATGACTTGGATCAGCATGGCTCGAGCTCGAAGGAGGATCAAGACACTCACATTCTGCGAACAGTGGGCAATGACTTGGATCAGCATGGCTCGAGCTCGAAGGAGGATCAAGACACTCACAGCCTGCGAACAGTGGGCAATGACTTGGATCAGCATGGCTCGAGCTCGAAGGAGGATAAAGACACTCACATACTGCGAACAGTGGGCAATGACTTGGATCAGCATGGCTCGAGCTCGAAGGAGGATCAAGACACTCACATACTGCGAACAGTGGGCAATGACTTGGATCAGCATGGCTCGAGCTCGAAGGAGGATCAAGACACTCACATGCTGCGAACAGTGGGCAATGACTTGGATCAGCATGGCTCGAGCTCGAAGGAGGATCAAGACACTCACATTCTGCGAACAGTGGGCAATGACTTGGATCAGCATGGCTCGAGCTCGAAGGAGGATCAAGACACTCACATACTGCGAACAGTGGGCAATGACTTGGATCAGCATGGCTCGAGCTCGAAGGAGGATCAAGACACTCACAGCCTGCAGACAGTGGGCAACGACATGAATCAGCATGGCTCGAGCTCGAAGGAGGATCAAGACACTCACATACTGCGAACAGTGGGCAATGACTTGGATCAGCATGGCTCGAGCTCGAAGGAGGATCAAGACACTCACATGCTGCGAACAGTGGGCAATGACTTGGATCAGCATGGCTCGAGCTCGAAGGAGGATCAAGACACTCACTTCCTGCGAACAGTGGGCAATGACTTGGATCAGCATGGCTCGAGCTCGAAGGAGAATTAACAGACGTACTACCTGCAAATAAACACCCAATGTAAATGAGAACAATCTTCAAACTTTCTGATAATCTTACAAAAATATGTGGAAACCAGACGCCTAATTGTCCTATTATCTCCTCATGACTCATTGTCTTAGCAGAGTCAAAAAGTTTTGGGAGTGTTCTGGAGGATATCAGTCGTGAAGGCTTGCGGCAGGTAAATGAAGCCATGGGTAGTTACCTCTCAACTGCATATTTCATGCAGAGTTCCAAGTTGGTCTGCTGGGTCGAGACGAATAATTGCTGCAGTACTTCATTGTCCAGAGTTGCAGCCGTGCGTTCGATGAGTGGCCCGCAATCTGCAACATCCTCGTCCATGTCTGATGGATCAACGGTCATCATGTATCGTAACACTACCATCAAGTGGCTTACTAGGAAGGCATACATGACATTTTGGAGGCCATCGGACATCGTTGATAAACTTCAGTTGTGGACCGTCAGCAAACGACTCCTCGGCATGTTTCGGCGCCTGTTCTTTAGCGCCTTTCAACGATGCTCCCTTCGACTTTAGCTCTGCATATGCAACGTCGTAGAGGGCATCGAACTTTGTGAACAATACCATCACTGGAACTGAGGATTGTAATTCTGCGCATCAGTCGAACATCAACGATGCTCGGATGTGAAACCTTACTCCTTCCGGTATCACACTGAGAGAAAAATTTCTTTTCGCCTTCTGTGAATGATCTGCTTGCCCCGTCCATTGGGATGCAGTACCTATGTTGAAACTGTGAGATAGCACTTGTCGTGATTGATTAGTTGCAATTACCATATGACATGGAGTTGATCTTGTAATTTGGTTTTCTTAGAACGATCCGCGATAAATGCCTTGACTTTGTTGAATTCGGATTCGCCGCCTGCCTCAAACCCGCGTGAATCGTGAAAGACGAATCCTGGGTTGCTTTGAAACACCATTTTCAATTTTCGATATCGTGCTCTCCACGCTGAGACGTGGTCAGTTCATGCTACCAACTAAGCGCAAACATTACCTCTCTGGATCCCTTTAAAACTAGCAGCATCGATCTGATGTCGACGGGTCAGTCTTCAGTACCAGCCTCTTACTCGCATCATAGACCACACCTTTTTTTCCAGCGCCATTATAGATTTCTGGGTTGTCCCGTGTGGTTGCAAACTCTCTGGAGGATGGTAGTTTTTTCCTGCATTCCGTCTTCCTATAACGAGGATTCGAAAGCGAAACCGATTTTCCCTCCTTATCTCTGAAGGATCCATGGGGAAGGTAGATATAATGGAGAAGCGTTGGTGTAGCCTTATAATCGATCACTGCACCCGGCAAATATCTGACCCAGATTCAGTGGGCTTAGGGCAATGATGATATTATAGCTACCATGAGGCGTACAACGACGAGTCCTTGCATCGATTCAGAAGTGGCTGCGATGGCAAATTAAGATCCATATTTAAAATTAGTTGACTGTGGCGTACAGCCTGCTATACACCAGCTGCTATGTACATATCTGAATCTGGCCATGCTGAGGGATGTTGCACCTAGAATCGTTGGACCAGACTGATAGTGAGCTTTCGTGCCCTCCGAGTCTGTGCCACGCCATGAATTTGCGAGGTCTTCCATAGTAGTAGTCACTGGCAGGCCTTGCAACTACTAGAATTCGAGAAGACAGCCGGCTCCCTCATTTATCCCAATGGATCCCAGTGAGTCACCAGCTCTATTTTGTAATTGATAACAACTGCAAGGTCATGTTGGCAGGTGTTCGCGCTAACATCAATATCCACTGGGTGCATCATGGGGCATACATGAGGGTACCTCACTTCCTCGCAGCTGACGCATGGCTTGCACTCAACCTCTAGATAAATTTACAGTAGCTCAGAGTAGACTCTTCCCTAAACCAAATCAGCATGGCTCACGCCTCAATCCACATCTATGGTACTCAATTCTTGTCATTACGCAGTATCGTCAACCCGACTGATTACATCCAATAGGTATTACCGTCGATTTCAGCAAGTCGAACAGGAATGTAGAGTCTGCTGAAGTACAGATTGGCAAATCGCATTGCCAATTCAACGCGAAGCAGGAAAGAGCAGTGGGCGACGGACGTTTTCCTCCACCTATGTAAGTGCTCGACCCAACGCATGTCTTACCTGAGTTGCTACTGTGTTTTTTTTAATCGCAGAGAGCTTTCTCATGGGGATACATTTTTCGTTGCATATACGGCACAAGAAATGTTTGGGATGATGGCCAAGCATGAAGACATTGTTTCAACCTGGATGACATGTTTCGCGTGTATAGTGCAAACGAGGGACAAGGTGACAATAATCATCCCATTCTCAACTTGATCGTTCATGGACTCAACATCACATGCATAGAATACAACAAGGTTCACAAAAAATCAGGATCGTCGTCGACTTTTCCAGGAATACAACACTGAAGTAAGGATCCCACATCTGGGCATCGAACCCGTCTAACTCGTAGATTAGCAGGTTGAGCAGTCTGTCTCTTCCGGTGAAACTACTGAGCTCCGGCCTACCACTTCCGAAA